AGAGGTGTGCTTCCAGGGAGAAATTATTCGTCTGTCTGTGCCTGCTGGGGCAGGCAGGGCTGGGTGATGGGGACAGTGTGACACTGCTGATGGGGATGGCATGATGCTGTCCAGGATGGATGCCCTGGGGTGATGCTGGCTGGCCCAGGGTGATGCTGGCTGGTATGGACAGGGTGACAGTGGCTGATACATGCAGTACTATGCAGGCTGGATTGGACACCTCAGGGCAATGCTGGCTGGGATGGGCAGGGAGACGCTGACTGGCACAGACAGGGGTGGGGAGGCCCGGGTGTGTGGCTGGGATTGACCCATGGAGAGCTGGTGAACATCCCTTCCTCAGCATTCCCCCATTGGTGATCTCTGAGTGGGAGGAAAGGATTTCAGGGCCGTTCTCCCTGGGCCCAGAGACCCCAAATGGCCCAGACCTGCACAGACCAGCCCTGCAGCGGGTGTGAGGATGGGCAGTGACCTGGGACACCCAGCCAGCCCTGCTCTTAGTGCGGCCTGAGCTCTCACAGACCTTCTGTCCTGGCTGTGTGAGCCTGTTGGGATTAATTGCCATCTCCTGCTGCATAAAAAAAGCCCAGAGTTTCTGCTCGGTCACTTCCCACTCCAGCTGCACCAGCACAGGTCTCTGGACCACCCCGGGGCTGGGAGCCAGCCAGGGCTCCAGGCACAGGACTGCAATAGCAAAGAGCCCTTAATCCCGCCAGCCCACGCCGCCCCAAGCTGCCTGTCAGTCTTTGCCCTTTGCATCCCCGCTCCAGTCACGGGGACTTCTTGGCAACCAGGGACTGACACAGACCCTGCCAGCCGTCCTGACTGCGGTCCCAGCCGTACGGTCCACATGCTGTCCCTGGCAGGATGGGTTGAGAAGAGGGAGAGATGCAGGGTCCGTGGTTCTGCAGGGATGCTCTGGGCTGTGGATGCTGCTGGCTGCCCCGTTGCAGGGGATAACGCCGGCTCCCTCCCCGCTCTGCCTCCTCCAGATGCGCAGTCCCATCCCAGGCCTGGGCAGGGTGATGGTGTTCCTCGCAGCAGCTCTGGCGTCAGCCTCCCTCGCCATCCCCGAGGGCTGGGGAGAGGAAGGGGGGCCTCCCCGAGCCCCCCGCGCCACCCCCAGGAAGGTGAGCCTCCCCGAGCCCCCCGCGCAGCCCCCGTGTCCCAGGCGTGGGGATCCCGGAGGCACCCCATCCCCCCAGGCAGGCACAGACCTACCAGAATCGGGGTGTACACAAAACGCAGCCCCGTGGCGATGGGTGTCCTCTGGGCACCTCCACCCTGCAGCCCCATTGCCCAGCCCCAGCTGGGACCAGTCCTTCCCAGTCCCCCATGGTGGTACCTGCATGAAGCACCCCCCCACAGCCAGCGCCCAGCTCCTGAGGGGGATACAGCTGCTGGCATGGGGTTGGGTGGGGTGCTAACACCCATCTGGGGCTGTGTGTCTGTCCCTCCAGGTGTGCAGTACGGACAAGTGGGGACAGATGTGACCCTGTCATGTGCCGGTGCCCGCACCGGGTAGGTCTTTTCCATGCACGCCGGGGGATTTATCCGACGGGGTGGTTTACAGGGTGGGCCTGAGGTGACCCCGCGGTCCCCATCCTCTAACGCTGCCCGCCTGGTCTCTCCTCGCCAGCTCGCCGGTGCAATGGAGACGGGCGGGTGCTGCGGTGCTGCCGGAGGGCTCGGGTGTCTGCGGGCTGGGGTATGCTGAGAGGGGACTTTGAAGTGACATGGGAGGGCCCTTGCTAACCGTCGCTTTTCCTTGGACCCCAGACCTGCCAGGGGTCCCCTTTGTGTCCTGCAGAGCATCCGACTATGAGAACTTCTCCTGCTCCTGGACCTCCACTGTGGAGACCTTCCTCCCCACCAGATACATCACCACCTACAGGTGATGTATCCCTAGAGGGCATGGGCTGGGGGTCTACAGGGTGACCGCTGGGTCCCAGCCAAGGATAACTACCAAATCCTGCTGGCCATCTACCCCACCCCCTAGGTTCACCTCCTACCCCAAGGACCAGGCTGCACCCCAGAGCAGGTCATGTTTTGGGGTGAGCAGTGCACCAAGCATTTGCCTGCTCTGAGGGGGGGGCCCCCGGCAGCACTGGGGGGCCGGCACAGGCAGGGTCCCCACCCTCCCGAAGCCTTGCCCGCACCCGAGGGGGGCCATGCGAGGAGCCGGGCGTCGTGAACCTCCGGCATGCTTCAGGATGGGAGGGGCCCCGGCAGCATCGCTGCTTCTAATTATCCCGGCAGGCCAAATTAGTGGGCTGCTTTGAAGTCAGGCGGAGCTCGTAAAGCACAGCCTTGCTGAGAGCGGATGGAGCAGGGGGTTGGGGGTTCAGCTCGGTGTGGACTGGGCTCTGGGAAGCAGGGGGCTTTGGGGGCCATAGGGTGAGGGTGAAGGTGAAGCCAGCTGCTGGGGAGCTTTTATCAGTGTCCCTGTGCCTTTGCTGCTGCTGCTGCACGATGAACCCTTGGGTGGGCAAGGGGGGGTCCTTCCTGGCCACCCCACTGCCTCATTCCCCTGGGACCCTCAGCTTCTGCTGCCAGGCTGCTCATCAGCGGGGCTGGGCATGGCTTTAGCTCCATCCCCTCTGCCGTGTCATCTGTGTGCTTTGATGTGGGAGCAGGGGGCTGCTCTGCAGTGCGGAGACCCCTGTTCGTCACCTGGGTCATGGTGGTGTTGGCTTCATGCTGTCCCCTCGTCCTCACTGTCTGCTTTTCTGTCTCTCTTCGTGGCAGGAAGAAATCACTGACAGGTGAAGAGAAGCGGAGGTAGGACTGACTCCCACCCCGGTCCCACTCCCTGGGGTCTGCCCCTCATCCCAAAGGTTCTGCCACTGTCCTCAGCGGGGTCCCAAAGCAAAGGCTGGGTGTTCCCATGGTGTAACCAGCTCCCCAGGCCTAGGACCCTATGCCCCAGGGGAGGGACCTTCCCAGGAGGGACGGTGGGACTGGGATGGGTGTCACTTCAGTCACTCTTGGAGGGACATGCTGGGTTCTGGAATGGTGAGGGCAGCTGCTGGACCCTGCCTGAGCTGTGACAGGGGCTGCCTTCTCCACCAGGCTCTTGGCATGGAGGTCCCCCACATGCCACAAACTTGGTAGCACCAGGAAACTATGCATGCAGGGGGGGGGGGACCGGTCACCACCCGGTCTTCAGGAACAAGAACGGGCACATGGGGCCATGCCTGCAGGATCCATCCCGCCCTGGCACCTGCACCGTCCATGGGTCGGAGTTCTGGAGCTCCTACCGCCTGAACATCACCGAGGTGAACCCCCTGGGCTCAAGCTTCCGCCTCCTTGACATCACCATGCAGGCCATCAGTGAGTGTCCATCTGTCATCTGTCTGTCCCAGCATCTGTCCATCACCCAGGCATCCAGCCCTGGGTGGCAGCGGGGAGTCCAACACCCTTCCGCATGGCAGTCTGGTGTGACAAGGTCTCCCCATCCCGTCCCATGCAGTTAAACCGGACCCTCCAGAGGGCTTGGTGGTGGAGCCCATCCCTCGGGCCCCACGGCGGCTCCTCGTGAGCTGGAAGTACCCCTCCTCCTGGCCCAAGGAACCCCACTTCCAGCTCAGGTTTCGGCTCCAGTACCGGCCCGTCATCCACCGCTCCTGGTCCGTGGTAAGCAGTGGGCGAGGAAAGGCGAGAGTGGGCACGGGGGCAGCAAGGGTTGTCCCTGCCTGCCTCACAGCTGCCCTCTGCCCGGTGCAGGTGGAGACGGTGAACCTGTCCGAGGTGATCACCGATGCCTTCGCTGGGCTCGAGCACGTGGTCCAAGTCAGCGCCAAGGATTTCCTGGATGCGGGGAACTGGAGCGAGTGGAGCCCTGAGGCCCGGGCGACGCCGGTCAGAGGTGCGAGGGCGACAGGCTGCAGACCCCAGCAGCCCTACCAGGTTGTGCCGTACCTCCCCGAAGTCCCTGCGGCGTGCTGGGCTGCCCTCCTCCAGCCCCTTCCCCACGGCATCCATTCCCCCAGATATCACACAGAGCAAGTCCCAGCTCCTGGGGTCCCTCAGAGTTGACCCAAAAAGCTGGTCCCGTGCACCATGCAAGAACTGGCCTCATGGTGGGGAGCAGAGCTGCAAGGGGGCAAAGCCACTCCCAGCCCCACGGCAGCTTGCAGCCATGCTGCTGCCATTTGGAGGGGGCCTTGGGGCAGAGTGGGGCTGCCACCGCACCCGTAGCACCCCGAGGACACCGTGGGACCCCCGGGGCAGCAGGGGCACCCTTCTTTGCTTGTCTACGTGGGTCCCTGGGATGCTGCCTGTTATTTTGGGTGGGTGATTCCCATCCTCTCTGTCCTTCCAGATCCAGCCACCACGGCGAGTGAAGAAACCACTACAGACACCAGCCTGGAAAGCCTGGCTGAGGAGCCCTCCCAGGCTCCTAACCCTGAGCCCATCAGTGAGTAGAGATGGGGGTGGCAGGCAGGAGCAGGGACTGCGCGCAGCCACCTGCCTGCCCTGGGCATGTGTGGCTGAGAGTAATGGGAAGGGTCTCTTGCCCCATACCCATGTGTGGCTGGGGTGCTGGGTGTGCAGGAGCGTGCAATAGGGTCCCCTGGGTGCCGGAGGCTGTGGCATCCCTTGGCCGTGACAGCCTCTCTGTCCCAGACCGCAGCGACCCCCTGGAGAAGATGGCCGTCCTGGTGTCCCTCGGGATCTTTGCCTTCTTCGTCCTGGCCGCTGTTCTCGTCATCACCATCCTCATCTGGTAGGTTGGGTTTTGAGAGGCAGGGGTCTGCATGATTGCTGTCTGCATCCCACTCTGGCCCCTGAACCCTCAGCATGGGGTGGCCCATGTCCCCCCAGCCCCTGCTCTGGGGTCCCTGCTCAAACAGACTTGATGCCAGCCCCGTAAACTGGTTCATGCTCCCCTTGCCCCCGTGCCACATCCGTGCTTCTTCCCCGCACACGCCTCCAAATACGGTACTGCCCAGCTTGCCTGGGGTCATTCTGATGGTCCCACATCAATGGAACCTGTATGCCCCGAAGATGCTGGTGCTACTAACGTTCCCCCAAATGCTCTCATGCTCCAAAGTCAGTGCTGAGACCCCTCCATATGCCTTTTGCCCCTGGGAGTCCTACTCCCAGGCACTGCCCGCTGGTCCTGTCCCCATGTCCCCTCTCATCCTGCCACAGCTGGGCTCTCCCTACCTTGCTGTGCCTCTGCTGTCGGTCCTCTGTCCCCATCCCAGCCCTGCTCTATCTGGTCACTGGCTCCTGCTGTAGCCCTGGAGCTGACCCGCTGGAGTGGCTGTGCTCAGCTGGGCACAGCTGGATGGAGATGCAGAGCGAGATCACGAGGGATGCGGGCAGTCCCGGTGCCCAGGGGAGCTGCTTGGGGTCCTCAGTCACTGCTGCTCTGTCCTCAGGCTCCGGGTGAGGAGACACAGCAAGGACAAGACCAAACCCCACAACTTCTTGGTTGCTGCCACCCACTTGAAGGCACTGCCGAGTGAGTCGGGGTGCAGGGGGTGTAATGGAGGGAATGCGGGGGGGACGGGACAGGTCAGTGCCCCCCCCGACCCCCTGCCCTCTCTCTTGGCAGAAGCCCAGATCCTGTAGTGAGCCCTGGCCGATCCCTGCACCCGCTCACCCACGCGTGGGACGTGATGCCACTGCCGGCCCCCGAGGACCCCACGCCTCCCGGCTCGAACACATGGGGATAAGACGCTGAGCCAGCTCAAATTCACTGTCCGGTGTTGAGGGGAACGGCGGGTGCGAGCTCCCGGGGGTGCCGGGCATCAGTGGGTGGGAGATGCTGAGCCTTGCCCGTCACCCCCCGGCAGCAGGCAGAAGGGACCCCCACATCCCTCTGCCCCTCGCACCCGTGCTGTGGCTGGATGGAGCAGTGATGCCAATAAAGGGGATAGCGTTGACACTACCCAGGCAAGACCCCCTTGCAGACGGTGCTGGGCCAGGGGAGAGGTGAGTGGCACCTGGTGAGATGCCGGTTTGGGAACGGTCCTTGCTGGAGGTGTACAGGCAGCAGGGCTGGTCCCCAAACAGGTCAGCCCCCTCCCCGGGTGCTTGGACAGGCTGAGAGAGTCCCTTGCCCAAGCCAGCCCTTGATGAGTGCCACAAGAGGATGCAGGCAGCTGCCTGGGGCATCTCCCTTGCCCCCGCAGCAGGGACAGGACCCTCTGCACAGCCCCCTTCTCTTGGCATGTGGCCCCCTCCCCGCACCTCGACCCGGCCCCTCTAATGGCTTCCATCTGCTGGCACCTCCCGAGCCCAGTGCTCAGCGCCAGCGACCCGATGAGATCCAGATGGGGCTGGGTGGAAATTCAGGCAGCAGCGGCACGGGGAGCAGAGCCAGCGCGGGGTGGGTCCCTGCGCCCGTCCCACCGGGAAGATGTGTCACTCCTGGCGGGGCCCCGGGGCTGCCCTTGAGGGGTCCTCCTGGGGACTGAGTTGGAGGGCACCAGGGCAAGGCTGTGCCTTTTGCAATGCCTTGTGTGCCCACAGACCCCTCTGCTCTCGCTGGATGCCTCTGCACTCCCAGCCTGGGTGCAGGGGCATGGGGGCTGCCTGTGCCGGTGCATGGCTTTGCGGGGTCCCAGCCCCTCGCTGTCCCTGCTGAGCACATTCACCTTGGATGGGGGAGATGGCCGTTAGCCCTCCACCTGTGGTGTGCTACTGGGATGGCAGCATCCTTTGACAGGAGCGGGGCTCTCAAGGAGCAAGTAAGGCAGGTCACCAAGGTGGGGAGGTATAAAGGGCCACATCCTCCCTGGGCTTCTGGGCCCGATAGCCACATCCTCTCTCAGGTGCATCCCAGAACTTGCCAGCTCCAGCAGTGTCACGATGCCATCACCTTCTGCTGGACTCTGGTCCCCAACCCAGCCAGCACCTTTTCTGATGTGTCGTGGTCGCCCTTGTATCCCCTTGGTCCCCAGCTTGGCATGGGCTGCCTTTTCCACTTGGAAACCTGCTCTTATGACCACCAGATCCCACTCCCCTGCCAGTATGGAGGGATTCAGGGCTGTGGTTGTCCATTGAACATGGGTGATGTGCATCCCACAACTGTTGCTCCAGCGTTTGCAAACTGAGCTCAGTGGTTTCCTAGCACCTGGTGCTGGTTTTGAGGCTCATGCCTGCTCGAGACATGGCCAGAAAATGGGAGAGAGTGTGAGCCGGCAGCTCTGGCCCTCGTATCCTGCCTGCTTATAGACTCAAGACAGTCCAGGCATGCTCCAGGTAGAAGGGAGTTGCTGCTGCCCGGGGGAGCAGAGACCACCGGACCCTCACACATCCACAAGGAAACGTGCCTGCGTTGTGCAGGCAAGCTCAGGTGGGTAGATCAGAAATGACAGGCAGAGGGGACCCATAGCTGTGCTGTCCCCATGTGCCAAGTGCTGTGTCCTCTTCCTTAGCTGGGTTTTGCCTGGCCAGGAGGTGGGGACACCCAGTTCTGGTGACCAGGGCAGCTTGAAGGCAGCAGATGCACATCTGGTCCTCATCACTGCATCCTGCTGCCCTTGGTCCTGGAGGGTCACCCCTCTCCTCTCTGATGGAAGCGTTAGAGATGGGACCTACCACCCGTTTGGCAGCTGCAGGTACCAAGATCAGGCGAGAGGTCTCCATAGCCACCATGAGGTCCTGCCTGCCCCCGCTGTGGCTGCCTGCTGGGGTACCCCATGGCTCAGCTCCCTGCACCAGCAGTCTGTAAATGTGACACACGGGCATCAGGGACCCCAAGGAAGCAGCCAGTTCAGTGCTTGGGGGGCTAAAGATGCTTGATGCTGGGTGCTGCACTCCCAGCTGCCTGGGGGCAGGATGCTCTGGTGCTGGATGTGGGTGCCCAGGGCTTTCTACCAGACCAGTGAAGAAGCAAGGGGAGGGCTGGGGTGAACAGCAATCTGGGATAAAGGAGAGGGCTCCAGATGCCAAAGTCAACTTTGCCTTCAAGCCGTGGAGAAGAAAAACAGGAAGGTACCATGAGAGCAGTCCCAGTGCCGGCACCTCCCTGTCCCCCCCCGGGGCCAGGGAACTTCCTCCAGGGCTGGGGCTCTCCAGTGGCTCGCACAGCGAAGGAAGGACTCTCCAGTGGCTCACACAGCGAAGGAAGGAGCCCTCCCTGCACGCACCCTGCCCAGAGCAGGCAGAGGCACTTCCAAACTTGCCTTGCTGCTGTATCCCACCCTCCCCAGGCTGCACACTGTGCCAAGGTCGCAGGCCTGGGGATGCTGAGACTGTGCCAGGTCGAAGCAGCCTGTGGGTTGCATCCACAAGGAGCAGGGGTGGATCCAGCTGGCTGGCATGGGACAGGGAACAGCCCAAGCCCAGGAGGAGAAAAGCACACAAGAAAATGGCCTGGGTCCTGCTGGGGGTACAAAATTTACAGCAGGCAATGCCACACACCGGGGAAGGTCCCCGGCACTGAGGTGCGGAAAGGTCCATGTCCGTGTCTCCATCCAGTGCAGGGTGGCCCAATCCAGCGCATCCCTTGGCCAGGGGCTGGGATGCAACCACCGCCCAGCTGTGTGCAGGGCTCATTTGGGAAAGCAGCTGCCTGGGCAAAAGCCTTTGCAGCAGGGCTGCTGGTGTGGACAGTTGTGCAGCAGTGCCTGGGCTGCTCGACTGCTGCTAACCCTGCCAAATATCTGGGCTGTCCCTCAGGCCTAGCCTCCTCCTCTCCCTGACTCGCTGCCAGGACCAGCACGCATATTGCGGGGTGGGGGGGAGGCATGTTGCACAGCACCATGAAGCAAATCAGTCTCAACTTACCTCTCGTGGCTGCTCCTGCTTCCTTCTCCACCACCTCCTGAGCCAAGGAAAGAAACAAAAGCAGCTCCAGCACATTGTGGAAGCCACAGAGGCACAAAATACACATACCATGAGGTGAGGGATAAAGGAAAGGGTGTGTACACAGTCAGTGGTTCAGCTGGGATGGAGGGGGGCATGGATTGAGGGCAGGAGCCATGCAGATATATAGGTGGATGCATACAGCTGATATAGGTGGATCAGTTGGTGGAGCGAGGGAGGGATGGATGTACAGGTGGATACATGGGTGTACGGATGGACAGGCAGTTTGGACGCTGAAATGCTATCCAAAGTATCAAAGATGCTCATTGTGCAGGGCTGACTTGTGAAGATGGCTGGGAGGCCAAGTGTGTAAGGCTTGCAAAGGGATGCCCATGGGCAGAGAAAGTACAGTGTTTGGGAACAAGTTCGAGGTGTGACCCGTGCACCCAGTCTCTGTGGTAGCGGCATCACAGCTGACAAAGGAGACAGAGCCTGATTTGTTCCCAGTGCAGGGCCCGAGAGCGTCAGCGGAGAGCGTAGCGCATCTCCAGAGGGATTCCATCGCCCTCAGGAGCTGCTTCTATCTCACACTGTCCGGCACTGGGAGTGGAGGAGCAGCAGGGGTCCTGCCCCAGGGACACAGTTAATCCAAAAACCCAGTGCTGAGCATTCACCCTGGCTATAGCTTTCATCTCACTGCACATGGCATACCTCTGCCTGGGGTCTCGCTAGAGGGTCCAAGCACCCAGCCCACAGGAGACCCCTGAGATCACCCATACTCCTTCTGATGCCTCCCTTTCTACCTGCCACAGGCCTGCAAACT